AAAAGGACAGCTCCAGTGCCCTGGAAACCAAAGAGTCACTGGCTCAGTGTGCCCTACTGTCCACCAGGCGTCTGGCAGCACCCCAGGGGTCCTCTACAGCCCTTCCACGTCTGGTCCCACCGCAGAGGCTGTCTCACCCCAGGACACAGGATTGTCCTTGGGCCTGAGAAGCAAAGATTACCAAGACTTTGCAAGTGCTCCAGGTGCAAATGTTCCACCACCAGGTGCTGGGCCACGCGTGTTGCACATGTCATTTTATAATGGTGAGAAGTGTCTGAGGTAGGCGTGAATGTCCTGACTTTATAGATGAGCACACTGAAGTGGACCCCTTGCCCAAGATCACTTGATAGGAAATGGCAGAGCTGGGGACTGAACTCCAGCTGTCTTCCTTTTCATGTATCAGCTTGTTAATGGGTGTCTCTTAAACACCTTTTTTTTTCTTTTATGGGAAAGTCTTGCTCTGGCCCCGCAGCGCTCGGAGTGCCGCTGGCGTGACTCCGCTCACTGCCAGCTCTCGCCCCTCCCGCGGTTCACCACCATTCTCCCTGCCTCAGTCTGAGTACGCCCTGGGCCATACCACAGCCGGCCGCCACCCACCTGGCTAATTTGTCTGCTCGTATTTTTACGTAGCAGACAGCGCGTTTCCACCTGTGTTAGCCAGGATGGGTCTTTGACTCCCTGACCTCATGATCCCCTTCCTGCCTGCCCCTCAACCAGCTGCTGGGACTGACAGGCGTGAGCCCCGCGCAGCCTCCTTTCAACACTTTTACAGCTCGCCAGCGCAGCTGTGCAGCAAGGGTCGAGCAACCCGACAGAGCCTCCCCCAACCATGCCTCGGGCTCCTACTCAGTCCCTCAATCGGCGACGCGAACGGGTTCGAACAACAACAATAATTAAATCATCGATATATCAGCATGTGCAAAATGACAACACATCAACACAGACAACAACACATATGGGTCTTTTTTCTCTCTTTCTTTTTTCATTTCTTTTGAGCGGAGTCTCCGCTCTGCCTCGCCCCAGGCTGCGTGGCAGTGCGGCCACAATCCTTGCGCTCACGCGCCGCTCTCGCTCCTCCGGGCTTCACGCGCCAAAAACAACAACAAACTAAACACAACAGCCACAAACTGCGTCAGCTGCGCCTACAGGTACCCACCACTGTGCCCGGCTAATTTTTTGTATTTTTAGTAGAGATGGGGTTTCACCGTGGTCTTGATCTCCTGACCTTGTGATCCGCCTGCCTCGGCCTCCCAAAGTGCTTACAGGTGGGAGCCACCACGCCCGGCACATATGGGTCTTTGATGGTGTGTAACAAAGAACGCTGACCTAGCCGGGCATTGGAAAGAGCTGCCTGAGGAAGTTACCTGAGCACAGTGCTAAAAGATGACTAAGCAAAGGGAGAAGAGAACTACAAAGAGAGCACAGCACATGCAAAGGTCCTGGGGCAGAGGGGAGTGTGAAACATTTGTGAAATCGATGGGAAGCCAGTGTAGCTGCAGTCTGTAAACCGAACAGCATGTAAGGCACAGGACCCAGCAAGTGTTTACTGCAGCCAGACTGTGTTCTCAGAGCCTTGTATCATCTCGTGGCATCTTCACAACCACCTGTGAGGTTGGTGCTGCTATTGCATCCCCATTCTCCAGATGAAAAAACGGGCACAAAGGAATGAGTCAATAATCCAAAACCATCTGACAGGGGCAATGTGGAGCTCACATTTGAATCCAGGCAGCCTGAATCGAGAGCCCATGCGCTGAGCCACTGTCTCACACTGGTTCACGAGAGAAGGCTGAGGGGTGGGCAGGTTCAAGCCCCAGGCAGGCCATGCTGAAGCTTCGTCTTTTCCTTAGGTGAGTGGAAAGGTTTTCATGCAGGGTGATAATATAATCAGGCATGTGTTTTGAAATAAGGCTGGATGCGGTGGGGGCAATGAGGACATGGGATGGGGAAGGGGGCTGGGAGCTACCGGGTCCAGACAGGAGATATTAGCCCCTTAGACCAGGAAGGGGCCCTAGTGATGGAAAGCGCTGGATAAGAGAGGAAGGACTGACAAGACACAGATCGGGTATGGAGGTGGGAGAGAGAGATGAGATGGAGGGAGTAGGCCACATTCCCAGGTTTCTGGCTCACCTGACTCAGGGCATGATGGAGCCTTTGCCTGGGACAGGTAAAATCCTGGAGGAGTACAAGGTTTGGGGAAAATCACAAATCCAGTCTTGGGCTGGGGACCGTCCCAGAGCAGATGTCAGGTTGTCAGAGGACACCAGGATTGGGAGTTTAGAGAGCAGTCAGGCCTGATACTATGGATCAGTGAGTCGCTGATGCCATGGGTGTAGACGGTTTCATCCAGGGAGGGGTGGGCCCCAAGGACTCTGCCTATGCTGGCTGTGCAGCAGAGAATGAGATGCACGGCCAGAGGTGGGAGGAAAACGAGGGGGAATGTGCAAGCCAAGAGAAAGGGAACATTTCCAGGGATGGGGTGGTCATCAGGGATAGGGTGCCCCCAAAAAGGCAATTAATACACAGACCCCCAAATATCCCGCAGCTATCAATGGGAAATCAGTGAGTTTAGGGGAAAAAAAGTGCTCTGATGTGTGGGGAGTGGGGCTGAGGAGCGAACAAGAGAAGCGGATTGATACCGTGAGTGTAGACGACTTCTGAGAAGTTTGGCTGCAAAGGGGAGGAGGAGGAGGATGGTGACAGCTGCAGAGAGATGTGGGGTTGGGGGGCGTTTCAGAGAGAGGCACTTTAGCACGTTCCCGTGGCGAGGGGAAGCGGCCAGTCGACGTAGTGGATACCATGGGTGCCTCTCAGATGCCCTCCTCCAGGACTGAGCAAGGATTTCCCAAAGGACAGGGAGGGTCAGTGGCCAATAGTGCTCATCTGAGCCTCTCTCCAGGATGTGTCCTGGGCTGAAGACAACTGCTCTGCCCAAATCCATGCCCTTCCTTCTCCCACCTTACAAGGCAGCCCACATCCAGTGGCCCAGCCCCCTGGCCACAATGGGGCACAAGGCTGAGGCTGTCCCAGCTCCACAGCTTCCCATAGGGTGGCTGAGGCCTTAAATGGGCCTGTGGCCCAGCCCAGCTTCTCCCTCAGCGGCTCCTGCTGGCTCCGCCCCTCAGGCATTGGTCACGAGATCAGACCCAGCAAGCCCCCTGCCAACGTCTCTGTTTCCTGGGACATTCAACCTGAGACAGCAGCTAAATAGCAAGAAGAGGGGCCAGTGATTGTGGATATTTTCTGAAAAAACAGGTGAGCTGTACCCTGGAGAAATGTCTGCTCTGAGGTACCGAGGAAAGGAGGCCAGGGAGGCCGTGGTGAGGGAGGGCTGAGCTTTGTGGTGGGATGTTAAGTGTGTCCACTATTCCGTGAGGTGGAGGTAGGTCACCTGATAAGAGAGCGAAGGCTAAGAGGGCCAGGAGTTGGAGGGAATGAAGATCCGAAGCAATTGTTGCAGAAGGCGAGAGGGAGCAGAAACCCTCAAACACAACTGGTGGGAGATTGTGCAGCTATAGAAAACAATTTTTTTTTTTTTTTTTTTTTGAGACGGAGTCTCGCTCTGTCGCCCAGACTGGAGTGCAGTGGCGCAATCTCGGCTCACTGCAAGCTCCGCCTCCCGGGTTCACGCCGTTCTCCTGCCTCAGCCTCCCGAGTAGCTGGGACTACAGGCGCCCGCCACTGCGCCCGGCTAATTTTTTTTTTCTATTTTTAGTAGAGACGGGGTTTCACCATGGTCTCGATCTCCTGACCTTGTGATCCGCCCGCCTCAGCCTCCCAAAGTGCTGGGATTACAGGTGTGAGCCACCGCGCCCGGCCTTATAGAAAATAATTTGATGGTTCCTCAAAAGGTTAAAGGTAGAGTTACCTTTTAATCCAGCAATTTAATCCAGCAAACTCCTGGAAATTCCACAGGAGAATTAAAACATGAGTTATAGACTGAGTGTTTGTGCCTCCCACCCCATTAATGTGTTGAAACCCTAACCCTCAATGTGATGGTATCGACGGGGCCTTTGGGAGGTGATTAGGTTCATGTGAGACCATAAAGTTGAGATTAGTGTCCTTGTAATAAATGGAAGTGACTGGAGCTTACTCTCTTTGTGCCATATGAGGACACAGTGAGAAGGCGGCTGTCTGCAAGCCAGGAAGAGAGCCCTCATCAGAACCTGACTGTACTGGCACCTTACTCGAACTTCCAGCCTCCAAAATTGTGAGAAATAAATCTCTATTGTTTTAGCCACCCAGTCTATGGTATTTTGTTATGGTAGCCCTAGCTGACTGAAATGATATGTCCACAGAAAAACTTGTACGTGAGTGTTCATGGCAGCATTATTCTTATTAGCCAAAAAGTGGCCTGAGCCCACATCTGCCCTCTGATGGGGAACCCCAGGCCCACAGGGACCTCCCTCTGCCTGACCCCAAACCGCCTGGGTCCCTGGGCAACATTCACACCCCATGACACTCCTTCTGAGCACCCTACACTTCTGCTAGCTCTTGTACAAATGTGGTAACCAAGTGATTAGCTACTTACTGTCTGTCTAGTTTCACCCTTGGACTCAAATGAGAGGGGTCCCTGCCATGGGTCCTCTGCAGAAGGCTCCTGTGCCTGTGGCCCTCCCCACAGGATGAGGAATCTGGGGGGCCCTCTTGATTCCTGGACCCTCCCTTTAGAACATGCTTCTGATACATGGGGCCCCAGCATGCCCTCCCTAAATAGCTCCAAGCCCATCCCCTCAAGGGTGGACTAAGTCACCAGTGGGGTAGCCAAGTGGCAGCTGGCTGCAGGGGTTATGGACAGTTTGCACACACAGACTACAATGTCCACGTATGTGCCCGTGAGCCTCTGCTTGGGGGAGGAGGGCTCTGTGGGTGGGAAGATGAGAGGGAAGGCTGAGCCCAGGGCCTGGCCTTCTCCTACCACCACATTTGGGCATGGAACTTGGAAAAGTCAAAGATGTTTAAATTAGAACCTGGCCTTCCAGGTCATTATCAAGACACATTTGTCAAAGTAGGAGAATAGAACATATTTTATTTAACAGTTGTTAGCTTGATTGATAACTTTTAAATATTTAGACATATGGTGTGACGCCCCCGTGTGTACTCTCGCCCTGGCCCTGCTGACAGTGAGGTGGGCTTGGGTCAGCCTCACCTGTCAGACCACAAGCTCCACCAGGGCCTGTGCAGTGCCCGTGCCCAGAGCACAGCACCTGGCACAGAAGAGCGGACAATAAATACCGGCTGTGAGAAACAAATGGGATAATCCAAGCCAAATGCTTGGCATGGTGCTAATGTCCAATAAATATGAGCTGTCATTGTCTGTTGAATAAATGAACAGGTGGGTGGGAGGGGCTGGGGGCCAAGAGCCACAAGCTGAGGTGGCTTGTGTCTGAGGAGGGAAGGGACCCGCTGTTCCCTGGGATTCATGTTTCCTTTCTTGAGGTTGTGTCCTCCTTCCCCACACCCTGCAGGCCTGCCCAGCTCTTCATGGCAAAGCGGGCCCCAGATGGGCATACTTGTGTGTCAGAGTGCCAAAAGGGGCTGCAAGCTCCTGCTAGGGCTATGTCCCCCTACTCTAGGACAGAACAGCTGGGGCAGGTTCCCTCTTTGCCTTCAGGGGCCTCCCCAGGTCCAGACAGAACACACCCAGGTTAGTTCCTTTCCTTTCGCATAGGCCCAAAGGTTGGAGGGTGGTAGCTGAAAGGACTGATTTCCCCCCTACCCAGGCTGTGCTCTGGTGTGGGAGGTGCCTTTTCTGGGGAGTGAGGTCACTCACTGGACCTTGAGCAAGTCACATTGCCGCTGCAGGCCTCAGCATCCTCGTCTGTAAAATGGGATTGTGTGTGGAACTGGTGCATGCCCAGTGGCAGATGTGAGGTGCGCACTTGGTGAATAGGAAGAAGCCTGGCACAGAATATCAGTGGGTCGGGGACAGCAGAGGCCCGGGACCCCCAACAGGAAAGCAGATGAAACTGGCGCACAGCCAGCCGTGCGAGAGGCTCAGGCAGGAGGTCATCCCTGAGGCCTGAGGACAGCTTCAGCCGCCCACACTGGGTCAGTCCTGTTTCCACAGTACGGAAGTGGTTACAGCTGCTTCATGACTGGACAGTGCCGGCACAGGGTCCACAGGGTCTCTGTGAAGGCCTCCACGAGGTGAGGGCCAGAAGCAGCCAGGAAGCCCCCCATCAAACTCCTACCCCCCAGCATCCACCATTCCAGAAATTCCAACTGTCACCCCCACATACACTATCGCGCACGCACAGTAGGAGCGATGGAATAGAGAAAAAACCTAATTAACCCCCAAATAGGACGTGACGGGTGGGGGGGGAGGGGGGAGGGGAGAGGGGTGGCGAGGGTGATAGGGAGTTGGAGGAAGGAATCACATTTTGCAAACTGCCCACTAGGGGTCACCGTACCCTCAGAACCGAGGGAGCAGAAGTCACACCTGCCTGCGGCTGTGCGCTGGCGGAAGGTCCCAGAGAGAAGGCCGCCCAGCTTGTGTGGCAGGCCCTCGGCCGCCGCCCCAGTCGCAGGCCCGCAGTCAGTGCGGCGGGAAGATGTCCGCGCACTGCTGCAGGATGAGCTCCACCACCTGGTTCTGGAACACCATGGTCATGGGCATGCTGGTCTCTTCCACCTCTGGCCGCAGCAGCGTGGGTCCGAACACAATTGCCACGCTCTGCACCGACATGCGGTTCTGCTCGCCGTGCTCGATCACCCTGCGGCAGGGGTGGGTGGAATCAGGGCTCCGAACTGCAGGGAGGCGCGGGGGGCTCCAGCCCGGACCTGCCTCCCCCTTCCCGCGCGGCACTCCCGGCTCACCGACAGAGGTGCTGGAAGAGCATCCGCAGAGTGTCATGGTTGGGGGCCGGCAGCGAGCGCACCAGGTCGCGCACACAGCGGCTGCGCTGGGCCTGGTCCTGCAACTCTGGGTGAAGGAAGGTTTAGAGGGAGGGAGTCGGAACTGGAGTTAGGGGGTGTCGGCTGGGCGAGGGGAGCCTGCTAAAGGGGTGGCCCGCCACGCCCCTTACCCCATCCGCCCCACCTGCCCCAGGTGCTCACTGATGGCCGCAATGAACTGGCGGAAGTGCGAGAAGGGGAAGAGGGGCTCGGGCAGCTCCCGAAAGAAGAGCTTCAGGGCGCCGGTGATAACGTGAACGTCCTCCCAGCGCCCGTCGTCCAGGTCAAGGCGCTCATCTGTGCCAGAGGAAGGGAGGAGGATGGAAGGGAGGTCAGTACCCCTCGCGCCTTCAGGCTCTGGGGCAGGGGGTGGGGACGGGCCTCACCATGGTCCACCTTATAGCGCAGCTTCTGGATGGTGGCCAGGTTTCCACTGATGCGGTACAGCCCGTCGATGTCCAGCCCTGGGGCAGAGGGAGGCGCTGATCCCGGGTTCGGGGGTGGGGGTAGGGTGGGGCTACGGGTCCCTGCTATGATTCCCAGTCGAGGCCTCCCGTACTTTCCCCCTGGACCCTGCTTCCATCCAGGGGTCTTCAGCCTGCGGTCCTGGCAGGAGACCTGCGGGCACCCCAATGCCTGCCTCCCTCACCCCCACAGCACACGTACCGCGGGCCTCGACGGCGCGGATGCACTGCTGCACAAAGCGTGGCACCCGGCTCCTCTCGCGCTCACACAGCGCGGCCAGCGCGCAGCCGAACACCTGGTCTAGGGGAGAGGCTCGTCAGTTCCCGTCCAGCCTGCGCCCCGTCCTGGTCCCCGGGTCCCTGCCCCCCTCAGGCCTCGGGTACCTTTGATGTAGCCCTTCTCCCGCAGCGACTGCAGTGTGGGCCGCCTCTGGAGGAACTTGCGGAGCTTGTACCGGACCTTGCTCAAGTCGCTCTCCAGGACCCCGGGGCCCAGGGCGGGCGCGGCTGCCGCGGGGGAAGGCAGAACTGAGTCAGGAAGCAGTGCCGGGGCAGGCCAGGCAGGCCCCAGCAATCATCATTCCCCAGCAGAGGTCTCCTGGGAGACCCATCCTGCCAGCCCATCCTGCCTTGCGCACACCTGCATTCGGCCGCGCGTCCTCCTCTTTCTCCTGCCAGCTTCCCAGGCGCTCACTCGCCCCGAAGTCCACTCTGCTGCTCTCGCTCTCCTCCTCTGGGGGCAGCTCTGCGGACTGGATTCCCATAGCCTCAGAAAGGTGGGGCCTTGAGCCAGCTTCGGGTCCTTCCAGGATGGGGCAAGGGACCCGAAATGCACTCCCAACAGGCATGGCCTGGAGACCCTCAGCGAAGAGTCCTCTCTTCCCTTAACCAGGTTAACTCTCCTTACCTCCACCAGTGAGCCTGAGAACATTCACCTCCCTTAGCTGCATGGAGCCCTTAAGGTGCAGAGACAGTCATCCTGTTCTCCCACACCCCTTCCTATCCTGGCAACCCCTACCCACCTGGAGCCTTCTTCCTCTGTTTTCCTCAGTTTCTCTAACTAGGTCAGCATTCTTCAATACGTGGCTCCCAGTTCTGAGCCTGCATCTCCAGCTGTGGCTGGAGCACTGCCAACAACTGTACCAATATCACCTCTCTGGCTCTGGATTCCTACCTCTATTAATACAGCCAAAAGCTGCACTCAATGTTGGCTCATAGGGAATTAAGGGTCAAAAAGCCCCAGGTCATTTCCAGGTCAGTAGTTGTCAGAGAGCCCCTGTCCTAGCTCTACTTATGCAATTGGTATTTTGAGCCTTAAAAAAAATGGTCGACTATTCAAATCAATCCTTTAAAATTTTATCTGCTAGTTTCAGCCTGCCATTGGTTGGCTTGCAGAGTGTTTACTTGGCCTTCTGCTTCCCGTGAAGTGGGAAATTCCTTTAGAATGTGCCCCTACCGTCACCTGGAGAGTCTTCCTGCAGCGCCAACCCCAGGGCTGGATTCACAGACTTACAGAGGGCAGTTTCTTCAGCAGCCTACCCTGCCATCCCAGCCATTAGTGGGGGACTGCATTTACATTTCCCACTGATACCTTAGAGCTCCCTGAGCCTGAGCAGAAGGCCCCACTCATAATGGCCACCACCTCCCCACCACCCCTAGAGGCTCTGGGCTCTGCTTACCAGCTCCTGGATGCCCTGAGCAATGGCCTTATGCCAGGTGCTGATGATAGCCTCCGAGTCATGCTGAATCAGGTACTCCGAGCCATCTCGGCTCCGCAGCTGGAGGGACACAAGTCACTGGGTCATCTCTGGTACTCTGGGTCTGCCCTGGGGGTAGACACTCAGAGCTTAATGGAGCAAGGGCCTCACCCCAGGCCAAGTGTTGGATCTTCTGCCTCGCTTAAAGCAGTGGGTGACAGCGTCTCTGTGTTACAGATGAGCAAACTGAGGCTCAGCAAGTTTTAGCTGCTTCCTCATGGGCACACAGCTAGTGAGTGATGAGCACAGAGCTGCATGGCTCAATTGTCTGGTACACTTTCCCTCCCCCATCTTGCCTCCCTGCAAACCACAGAACATGGCAGGCCTCATGCAGAGCACTGGGCTGCAAACTAGGTGAAAGAAAATTCCTATGTGAGGCCAGGCATGGTGGCTCACACCTGTAATCCCAGCACTTTGGGAGGCCGAGGCAGGCTGATCACCTGAGGTCCGGAGTTCAAAACCAGCCTGGCCAACATGGTGAAACCCCGTCTTTACTAAAAATACAAAAATTAGCCGGGTATGGTGGTGGGCTCCTGTAATTCCAGCTACTTGGGAGGCTGAGGCAGAAGAATTGCTTGAACCCGGGAGGTGGAGGTTGCAGTGAGCTGAGATCACGCCACTGCACTTCAGCCCAGGTGACAGAGCAAGACTCCATCGCAAAAAAAAAAAAAAAACCCAGAAACTTCCTATGTTGAGACCCCTGTCTACTAGAAGCAACAGTGAAAATAGGGAGCGAGGATTTGAAGGCAGATCATGGCTGATCCCAGAGAAAGCAAGGTCTCCCCTTGCCCCTCCCCATACACACACTGAGGACTCAGAAACGTTGTCCCACCTTCTGCAGCCAGGAGTTGCCACCACCTCCCACACTCCAGCCTGGGCAGCACATCTTCTGTTAGCCCACTTCACCATGAAGAATAAATTAAACAAAACACCGGATGGAAACTTGCCACCGCAGGACTGATGCTCAAAGCCCTCTCTGAGTTGGATGGCAGCTTAGATGGATCCCTCATCAGCCTCTGGCTCTGAGGACCCAGTGTTCCAGGTTAATGTGAATGTTTAGCTGCAACAGCTCACACCAACCCTGCCCTTTCGGTTCAGTGAGAGTCAGAGACAACAGAAACTGTCTCAGACCCCAGGACACAACTTCTAGAATCAGAGTGGACTGTCTTTGGCTGTCCTTTAAAACTTATACTTGAAGACTATTTAAACTGCTTTTTAAAATGAAAAGAGGCTGGGCACGGTGGCTCATGCCTGTAATCCCAGTACTTTGGGAGGCTGAGGCGGGCAGATCATGAGGTCAGGAGACTGAGACCATCCTGGCTAACACGGTGAAACCCTGCCTCTACCAAAAATACAAAAAATTAGCTGGGCCTGGTGGCATGCACTTGTAGTCCCAGCTACTCAGGAGGCTGAGGCAGGAGAATCGCTTGAACCCGGGAGGCAGAGGTTGCAGTGAGCCGAGATTGTGCCACTGCACTCCAGCTAGGGCGACAGAGCAAGACTCTGTCTCAAAAAAAAAAAAAAAGAAAGAAAGAAAAGAAAAGAAAATGGCATATTGCATCCCCTAGCCCTCCCCTGCAAAGGATAGAGAACCTTCAAGAGGCAGATAACACAGCCTCACTCTAATCAAAGCAGACAAAAGAGCCCTGCTCAAGATTATCCCAGAGAATGGCTTGACAACACTTCTAAAACAACAGCCATGATTTTTGGCAGCTCTCTCAAAACATAATCAGTTCACATTTGCAAGTTTCACATAGAAGGCAAAGCTGTATCATTACATAGCAATGTATTTCACAAAATATTCGCCCCCAGCCATGCCCATAATCCTAGTGCGTTGGAAGGGCAAGGTGGGAGGAGTCCCTGAGACCAGGAGTTCAAGCCTGGGCGATATAGTAAGACCCTATGCCTAGAAAAAAATTTAAAAATTAGCCAGGCATGCTGGTGTGCACCTGTACTTCCAGCTGCTCAAGAGGCTGAAGCGGCAGCATCACTTGAGCCCAGGAGTTAGAAGCTGCAGTGAGCTACGATCAGGCCACTGCACTCCAGCCTGGGCAACACAGTAAGACCCTATCTCTAAGAACAAACAAATTAACAAAATATTTATCCTGCTGACTGCACAAGCAAATGCTAGCAGCTTTCGGGGGACTGTTGCTGAAGTTTTCTCTGACTTTGGGGTGACTAGGAAGACCTGCTGTGAAAATTTCCTGGGTCCAACAAAGCCATCTATCCTGAATGATATAAAATTTGGGGCTATCTCTTGAGGAAAACCTGGAGCTGCCTACAGGCCACCCTGCATGGAGGGAGGATGGCCAGCAGTCAACCAGGAGGCAGGGGCTCGTGATTTCCACTCAGGCCTGCCCACCTTCCCACTGGCCTGAGCAGCACCTGCCTTCCAGTCCTTGCCAGCAAAGACAACTCAGAAAGCCCTATTCTGAAACTTTCATCAAAAGCCCATCAGTGATGACCTTCATCGAGAACTGTTTGAAGGATATCCCTATCCCTCAAGTAAGGGGAGAAACATGCCTAGCAAAGGTGATGTCTCAGACCGGGCATGGTGGCTCATGCCTGTAATCCCAACACTTTGGGAAGCTGAGGCGGGTAGATCACCTGAGGCCAGTAGTTTGTGACCATCCTGGCCAACATGGTGAAACTCCGTCTTTACTAAATACAAAACAATTAGTTGGGTGTGGTGGCAGGTGCCTGTAGTCCCAGCTACTCGGGAGGCTGAGGCAGGAGAATCACCTGAACCCAAGAGGCAGAGGTTGCAGTGAGCCAAGACTGCGCCACTGCACTCCAGCCTGGGCAACAGAGTGACACTCTGTCTCAAATAATAATAATAATAATAACAACAACAACAACAACAACAATAATGGTGATGTCACTCCTCAATTTAACACCATGGCAGATATTGTTAGTTGATCACAGAACTCTACCCTGCCAAGCCCAGAGAAGGCTTCAGAATTCTTCTCAAGAAGGTTCCAGGCGGCTGGGTGCGGTGGCTCATGCCTGTAATCCCAGCACTTTGGGAAGCTGAGGCGGGTGGATCACGAGGTCAGGAGATCGAGACCATCCTGGCTAACACGGTGAAACCCCAACTCTACTAAAAATACAAAAAATTAGCTGGGCATGGTGGCCAGCGCCTGTAGTCCCAGCTACTTGGGAGGCTGAGGCAGGAGAATGG